CACCATATTTTTCCAGTCCTGTTTTCTTGCACAGTGGAGAGTCAGGTTGAGATCCCTAATAAGAACAAATAAGGCCCAAAATTTAAACATACCTGTTGAAAGAAAGTGGTGTCTCATTTTGATGTGCAGCTGAGCAGCCTTAGCTAGAACAACAGTTACAGTACGTGTCAGTCAGTCTCAGCAGGAGGCCACAAACCTGTCATTTGGGTAAACGTTGACAGACAAGTAGCAGAGGCCATCTGCAGCGCACTGAGTTTCCTGAGTGTCACAACCGCCATACAATGACTCATAGAGATACCTTTTTTCATCCTATACATACTCTGACCACTTTAGCACCCAGGCTCACTTCAGTCTGCTCATACCTGTCACTGCCTGAGTACCAGCTGGATATATTTAATTATAATTTGTGCCCCATTTGTCAATATATGTTCCTGACTGAGCAGCAGCTGACTGCCTGAGTAGTAAAGACCTGCCTTTCCTGAGATTGCAGGTGATGGACAGCTACTTCTCCTGGCAATCACTATGCATTTTGACTGTTTCTTCTGCAGTGCAACTGGCTATCTATTATCCCTTCCATGTGTGTAAGGATGGGCAACAAATGGAACAGCCTTAACTCCATCCAGTTTCTTCCAATTTGCAGTTATTCACATTGAAACTTATAAAAATGGTAAAATGCAGAGGTGAACATAATGATCATGAATGTGAAAGACAACTCAGGATTCCACTCAGGTTGAAGTATGCAGCTGCGTACACCCATGAGAAAGTTTACTGAGCTGTACTAATCTCTTACAAGCTTTCCATTCTCCTGTGTATTTCTATGGAGACCTAGGAATTTAAGATTTGGCAGAAATCCTGAATGCCTGGTCCTGTCTCCTAAATGGAAACATCTATGGGCTGCCAAGTTTCGATTAGGATTTGGATTGGGATCCAAGTTTCCTTATAAACACATGAAGTAATCTTTCTGTTCAATTCAGTACCCATCAGGCCTTGGTTAGAACATCAGTCCAGTCTTGGGCACCTCACTTCAAAAAAATTAGCCAATTGGAAGGAGACCAGAAAGAGAGCAATAGGAAGTCTAGAAAATATATATGACTAGCAATGACTGCAAAAACTTGGATTGTTTAGTTCCTTAGGGTTTTAGGTTGATTTGTTTTCTACTGAGAGTTATTTCCAAGCCAGATCATTCCAGTGATTTTGTTTATAGTGCTGCTCCATAAACGGTTATATTTGAAGGGTTCGTGAACTTCAGCACAGAGGCAGGAAGAAGTATCTGGGGGAAGGGAGGGACGAAACTCCGTATGCCATCTTTGTCAAGAGATCTAACAAATCAGATAACTACAACCCTGCATCTAACCATATATACTAGTTGGGGGTGGGGTGTTTTGTTTTACATTTTTCTCTCTTGGCAAATGAATCACTACCATTCCTTGATCAGTATAAGCTGTCAGTTGTAACTCCTCCGTCCCAAAAACAGATCAGATAATGAATTGACACTGTCTGTGTCTAATCTACAAGTTATAAAATCTTGCCATGTTGGAGTTAAGAACACTGAGATGTTCAGACCCTTGTATTTTCCATCAACATTCATGTAGCTGGCTATACATTTTCCTGTCTTGGCTCAGAGCATGGAGCTCAAGAAATCTGAGCTCTGATTAAGAGAGCTAGGTACAGTTGGCTCTGCCTGTAGCAATCTCATCTCCACAGCATCAGTCAAATCCATGTAAAGGAAGGAAATGTGTTTATCTTCCCGCCTGGAAGATAGTTCCAGCACTTTGTCTAAATCTGATGACTTACTTGCATGTTAGTGATGAAAGTGATAGACAAGGGGTCCTTGAGGACAGATCTGAACTCATCTTAACTGACAGCATAGATGTGTCCTCAAAATCACTACCTGCATTTCCTTTGCTTAAGTTTAACCTATCTAACTTTGGACATTTAACAGAAGGAGTGGTGGTGTTCAGAACTGTTCTTTGGAGTTGCCTCCATTCACTGACGAGGGAAAAATGTAGGCTAACTGTGTTCCTGAACTACTTGTTTCTGTTACATCCCGGCATGTATACTAGCTAAATTGATTCCTGCCATTCTTGTAGCTAAACTTAAACTTCTCCTTTGCTAACCAACAGCTTTCACTAGTACATCACTAATGAGGTTCTCTCCTCCTGTGTACCCTACTGTGGCCACCCTTACATTTACTTGGTTTATAGAGGACTGCTGGTTAAGTAAGTAGTTCTTGCTCTGCTCTGAAATTAAAGCCATAAAAGCAGTCATTGAAAACGTTTCCAAAGGCAAGTCTTGCTTAGCCTGTCTTCAGTTTTCTAGGTTTGTTTTATCTTCTACTCCACCATCTTCATCTTTCTGTTGTCAATAATTCTTATACAAAACAAATAAAAGCTAGAAATGACAGCTTCTCATTTGGGGATGTTTTCAACTTGCTTTGCACGGGTGTAAATGGTGAAACAGAGTTGAAACAGTCTCAGTGGCCTTATATTCCTTAGTACTTCACTCTTTCATGGCCACATCCAACCAGTCTTCTCATTTTTTCAAACCACCCTTTTTCAAGCCACCAACTAAGAGCAGCTTTTTGAACTATCAAATCTTTAAAGTTATGCCTATCACCAACTTTGACCCAGGCCAATGCCAGTCAAAGATACCCCTTCAGAGAAGCTCCCTGGAGGATGCACAAACTAAAATTCTGAAAAGTCAGTTTAGAGGGATGTTACCAAGTTCTGCCCTCTCCAGTTACCCACCAAGAGCAGCAGCTGCCTTCACAGGCCCAGCAGCTTCTTGTCACCATTTGGCAAACTGGAAGCTCTCAGTCATCATCACATTCCATCCAGCTGAACTCACTCTTCATCTGTGATATTTCTGCAGACAGAAGAAAAGGCAAGGGGTGGAGGGAGTACCTGTGGATTGCCATATATATGGGATAATCACTGAAAGGGCGAGGAAGATGCAAGGTGGTCCTGGTCTTTGACGTTAAGAGGGCTGCAAGTGGGATTGCAGACATTTAAAGTACATTTTAAGAACTTACTACACAAATGGCGCAACCACAGAAAAATGGTCACAGCCTCACACTGCAAAGTTGAATTTTGGTCCCAGAACCAAGTGGTTCTCATTGCAGGGTATGTTTGGATCCGTTGTAGTACTGCCTTGATAATACATCTGATACTCTGTCAAGTCATCTTTCCTAACAAATTGTGTGACATAAGTTCACTCAAGTTCTAGGATATTTTGTAAATTTTTTGCTTCATATTACCAGTACTTTTATAAAAACATATAACATTAGGAATTAGCATACAGAATTACATAAGTGCAATTTTTCACTTGTATTTTTTACAGTTCCTCTGTGCAGAACAAGACAGTTCAGTCACCTTTCTGCTGCCTTGCCATTTACATAATGATCACTTTTATAAACCATAAAAATACAGTTTATTTAAGTTAAATGTATTTGGTTTCTATTGGGAATATGTTTCTAGCCTTTGGGACCTGTAAAGTGGGCACACACATAGCTACAGAGCACATATCAAGTTGATATTTAAAATGTTGCTAACTATAATGAGGGAAATGGTTTGGGTATTGAAAACTATGCTTTTAGAGTGGATGTGGTCAAAGGGAATTGCTTGTAATTGTTGAAGTTTACAGAGTTATGGATATGAAATAATAGTGTGCTATCTGTTTTAGAATCATAATGGAGGCCAAGCATTTTAGGTTTTTTAAATTATTTTATTTTCTTTGCCAAGTTCCTAAAAAGCATGGAACCAGATATGAGTAACTACTAATGAGAATTTTGCCAAAAAAAAAAAAAAAAAAAGAGAATTTTGTAGTGCTTACTATCAAGCCTAATTACAAGTCACATTATATCATGGAAATTATTTACTTTACACATTTTCTTGGAGTGAAAAGTTTGAATGCATGGAAATGCCTGAGCCTAAGCAACGGTATAAAAGCAGATACAAAAAACGTACAAGGAAGTATGTTGAAATACATTTTTTGTTTCAGTCTTCACAGAAAAGAAACCAGTTGGATGATTTATCTGTTTTTTACTTGATAAAATTTACTCACTCTACTGACTAGGTTGGCCAAGCCTCTAGAGATTCGTTCTAAAAACTTGAGGAGAAAAACTACTCCCCAGATAACTGAGGAAGTAGTAAATACAATACCTGTCTTTAAAAAGGGAAGAAACAAAGACCTAGAAACAAATCAGCATATCCTGAGAAAAAATATGGGAAAAGTGATTTTTCAATATATGTTTGTAAACACCTAAGAAATTATCAATCAAAAAGAATTAATCAAAGAATTAAACAAAGAGAAGTAATACCAAACCAACCTGATTTTCAACTGCGATGAGATAAAAACTTTAATGTATCAGAGAAAAGCAGTAGATAGATACCATAAATTTGGGGAAGGTTTTTGAAACTAATGTCTCTAATGATAGTCTCTTATCAGCAAGCAGATCAGCAAGCAAAATCTAAGTGAAAGTCCTACAGTATGGAAAGCCATGCTCAGGAATTAGCAGTTTTTCACTGCCAATCTGAACAGAGGCATCAAGTTCCACAAGAGTCTCTTCAAAATAAAAATAATCAAAAATTGAATAATAATTTTAATGAATGAATTGAAAACACAGTTATGAAAGTTGCATGCAATATGAAACTTGGAATAGTTGCAAGTATTTCAGAGGAATGAATAAGAACTCAAAACAACATTGACAAATTAGAGAAATTATAAAAAAAACGAAGAAGCCACTTAACTGAGGTATGTATGAAGTACAACATTTAATTAGGAGTAATTAATTCACAACTATAGAATGAGGAACGATTGCTTACATTTCTTCCATGTATCTGAGGGTGGTGGATCACAAGTCGAACATGAATCAGTATTATCATATTACTGTAAAAAAAAAGGAAGTATGCATAAATGTATGAGTATGCATATATCCTTTGCAGAAAATATGAAATGTACCTTCCTGTATCAACACTGGTTAAATTTTCAGTAAGCCTATTATGGCCATGCAGTGGGCAAAAGCAACAGGAGTGTTCAAAGATATAGAAAATGTGAAAGCTCTAAGAACATCATTGAAAAACTGGTCTTGTTTAGACAGCAAAGGTTGGTAGGTAGAAAGGTAGATAAATACATGTGATAATTCCTGAGTATGTAAAACGTTTCTGAAAAAAAAAAAATAATCTCTTTTTTGTGTTAGTTTACAGTTTAAACAAGAATTAATGGGCTCAAATTACAAGCCCATTTCAGTTGGATACTAGAAACACTTTCTAATGTAGACACTGAAAGAGGTTACCTGGGTGGTCACAGAATCTCATTTTTTGAACATGTCTGAGAACAATTATCTGTCAAGAACACGTTTCCTAACTAAGGTCAGTGGAGTACCCACAGTGGTTTGGCATCCTTTCAACCACATTGTCTATGACTACACATAGTCTCTTGCCTCTGAGCCTGCAACACTTGAAGAATACGAAATTTTACAGAGTTCATCTTGAGCACCTTTGGAAATTCTGGAGTTTTTATTGCAGTAGTATAGAAGTCCAGTCACAGCCCATGACTCAACTACATAAGCCTTGAAGAAAATAGAAGAAATTTTTTGCCCTCAAGGAAGTCCGTTTCATTAGATGGTGAAAACACTAAACTTCATACTCTATGTCTCAATTTCTTTTTTTTATACAACTGCTTAATTTAATAATGACTAAAGAATAATTAAATACATATTTTCACCCTTACATCAAAGGCATTTGATTTAAATCCAGTCTATTTCAAAGTTCTGAAGAGTCCTTATGACTTCTGCTTGTAGATCCATGTCGGTTGAGTTGGTTGCTGTCATGCTGATCTTTGAAATTTGTGTCTACATCACTGACACCTATGGAAAGACTCCTGTTGCCTTCAGTAGTCCAGCTCTGACCTCAGCACAGGAAAGACATGGACCTGTTGGAGCAGGTCCAGAGGAGGACCACCAAAATGATCAGAGGGATGGAACACCTCTCTTGTGAGGACAGGCTATTGGGGTTGTTAAGCCTGGAGAAGCAAAGGCTCCTTCTTGCAGCCTTTCAGTCCTTAAAGGCTTGTAAGAAAGATGGGAACAAACTTTTTAGCAGGGCCTGTAGTGACAGGACAAGGGCTAATGGTTTTAAACTAAAGAGGGTAGTTGTTATAGAATAGACAGAAATTTTTCACAGTGAGGGTGGTGAAGCACTGGCACAGGTTGCCCAGAGAGGTGGTAAATGCCCCATCACTGGAAACTCTGAAGGTCCAGATTGGATGGGGCTCTGAGGAACCTGGTCTAGTCGAATATGTCACTGCTCATTGCAGGGAGGTTGGACCAGATGACCTTTAGGGGTCCCTTCTAACCCAAACTATTCTATAATTCTGTATAAGGCTCCTTTGCAACCTTAAAAAAATCAGCCTTAAAAGTAGTTCATGGATCTTACCTGACTCACATTTTCTGTGTCTTTCTGGATTACGGAGTTGCGCTAAATTATAGTTCCTTTTACTTCCACCTAAGCACCTTGTGCTAATTCTTAAGCTAACATTACATATAAGTAACTAATGGAAGTTGTATTTAGAGTTTTCATTTAAATAACTGGCCTTATCTTTTTTTGCTTGGCAATAGTTATCTCCAGATATCATAGGGGCTTTTGCTGCTACAGAGCTGGGTACTACTGATGATGCAGTGAGTTGATTTTGGGAACTGTTGTTTTTATCCCCTCACATGTAGCAGTCTTGCAGTGCCATAGGTAACTGTGCATTCACTCGTGTTTGTTCAAGTCTGGGTTTCAAGCCTGAGAGATTAGTATAGAATTGTTCTCACATGGGTATAAGAAGCTCAGTGGATATTCAGCTTTCACAGCATAGGTGATGTTTTCTTTGTTTATATGTGCAACTCCATCTTTAGCACTGTTGATTTTTCATGCTGCAATGAAGAATCTTGCCATAAAAATCTTACAGCAGAAGGCTTTATCATTTTTTTAATAGTACCTGATCGTTTATGTCCATCAACATTTATATTTGCATTTTGATATCAATATTTTGATATCAATATGGAATAATCCTCTAGCTTAATCTCTTTATAGGTTTAGACAAGAAACTCTTTTTTAAAATATTATTATTATTTCTGGTTTAATATGGTCCATTTTCTGAAGAGCTTTACTAGGTCCTGGACCTACTGTTGCTTATCTTGCAGTTCTCCCTGAAGTCTTTCTCGTATGCAAGGGCTATAGACCTTGTAGCTGTGGCCAACCTAATGCTTCTTGCTAAGTAAACAGAAAACCTCTGATAATTGCACTGGAATTTATACGTCTTCATATCAAAATTTATGTAGTTTATACAAGTATAGAATTTTATATATATTTAAAAATGCATCCAGCAAAGGCCGCCCTTTCTTGACAATGAAAGGAGGTCTTTCACATTAAATGGCCTAGTTTGATGTTCTCTCTCTTCTTCAAACATTAAACTATGTATGTCATCAGTTTACTTCCCAATAAAAATGAGCGATTACTTTTTCATTCTTGATTCACAGCCACTGCCCAGGTAATGTCAAAGCCTCTACTTCTAGTCACAGAACAAGTAGCACCCTCAGTCCTGAGTTGCATAGACCAGTTCAATGGCCATACAGAATGGCATTTGCATCATATATAAAGCAGCCATTTTCAAAAAAATTCAGAATGAAAGAACTTCCTCCTCACCTCCTCTGCACACTGAAGTCCTCAAGGTACCACAGTCTGAACAGACTGGATTCAGTTTTCAGGGACAGAAATCAGCATTTCCAGAAAAAGCGCTGAATACCAAGTTACACTGTTGGCTTCCATTGATGTGTGTTACCATAAGGAATTTTTAAGTTAATGAAAAAAAACACACGGATTTTCCAGTACTACTCTGCTAAGACAAAAAGCATAGAACATATTTAGGAGGAAATTATTGCAGTTTTTTTTTTTAAGCAGGTAGCAACTCATCAATGTTTTTCCAGCTGATCTATTCATCACATTACTTGTTGGCTCGGTCTAGTTCTTTACACTTTCTCAACACTTTAGCCCCTCCTGTAATTTCCCCATTAGTGACCACTGGGTTAGATTGGCTGTCATTCTGACTACTTTAATATCTACTTTAATATCAGGAGAAATAAACTAGGTTATTTGGTTGGAGCTATTACTTGTCTTGTATTAAGACATGATGCCCAAACAACATAGCCATCCAGTTACTCTAGTAACAGCTTAAAAGGGATCTCTAAAGTCACTGTGTAAATTGTAGTAACTTCTGCTACTCCCAAATCATAAGCTTTCAGGCAGAAAACAGAGATTAAAAACTCTGTCTCCCATTATTGACCCCTTGAGCTATCCAGTATCACAGAAAGAGTTTGTTTTAAAGAAAAAAATTAATCATATTTATTACAGAGACAAATGTTTCTGATATCTGAAAGACAAAGATAACGTGGCCGTTAAGGTTAGTCCTATTATATCCCAAAATGTCAACACACTTGCCAAAAGTGAATTTATCAGCTCAGTGCAGCCAAGAGATTTAGTTTATCTAAATGTCCTACAAGGAATAAATAGTTTACCACTGGTTTTGAAGATTGGGGCAAACCTAACATTCTATTGACATATGCTGTAGATTTAATTTAATGCTATGGTTCAGATATCTCTTCTGATAAATTTTAGTAATATCTGTGCTAAGAAGAATGGAGCTGTTTCAGTATTTATGGGGTTTAAAATGCAGAGTTAGCAAACTAAACACATTAATTGAAACAATGCTTGTGTATATTCTTGCAATGGTTTAGAGAAGAATTTTGCTAAAAATTCTTGGTCGGTTCTGAGTATTAGAGATTTAGTATTTTTCAGGTTTATTGTCTTTTCTGTAGTGAGAAAATACTCTAATGAAGTGATTAAATAGCTCAATTTTTATTTTTTAGGCATTTTGGAGATAACATCTGTAGAAATTGGAGTTGTGGCAGTTAAGTCCATTAAGAGCAACTATTACTTAGCCATGAACAAGAAAGGAAAAGTCTACGGCTCTGTAAGTATTCTTGTACCTTCCAAATTAATTACAGTAGTCAGCACAGTTCCTTCTAACCTACTGAAAACCGCACTTGTCCTGTGTATTACTACTAATTAGAGCTGAAATGAGCTATTCATCAACATTTCATCCTCTGGTAAACCAGCAGCTCCCTTTTCCACAAGCTCCCTGTTGGTTGTTAAGCTCATATCATACCAAAGCAGCTGCTGGGATTTATCATGCTTACTGCTTCAGTCAGTTTTCACATCAAGTAGTGGCCAATGGAGAGGGTCCTCCAAAATGTAATCCTTAAGTCTGTTTTTCACTGTTTTTCTGTAGTGCAGTCCCATTTAGCAGTAATTCTGGAGGGGATAAAGTGTGCCTGAAATCTTGGAAGCTTCAGCTGATGGAGCAGACACACCAAATTATCAAACTATGACTTCCAAGGAGATTTCTAGAGCAGCCAGTTTAAAATTGACTGTATTAATTAATACACAAGATTATGGGCAGTACAGAGACATACAGACTTATATATCAGCAGATAGATAAGCTTTGGTTGAGCAGAATTTGCGTATCATTTGAAAATTATCCATATATACTTTGTATTTGTGAAAGCTTGGGGTTACTGATACTTTCAGGGGAAAAAACACTAAACCCCCTCTACTAAAACAAACAAACAACCCAACAGATCCCAATAACTATCCAAATATTTTTAATAGGAAGCAATATGATCTATAAATCTGACTACTAAACTCAAGTGTGCCCTCACACATCCACATGATTACACAAACACCAAGTTGTTGTGGTGTTATATCTGGTTTTGTTTGTAATTTTGCAGCTTTTTGCCAGTTCCAGTAAGTTTGAGCCAACATAAATGTAAACTTAGTCAAGTCACAGGTCACAGGTAGGTGCTGGGGCTGGGTTTATCCTCAGGCAATGGAGCTAAGACTCGTACCACTGCTGAAAATAGTGAAGTAATGCCAGTCTCAGCTGGGACCCGAGGGACGTGAAGTCATTTTGCCCTCTTTTTTTAAGGAAGCATTTCTACAGAGTAGGTTTAGTTCATACAAGCTATATGAACTGTTCTGCCTCATCTGCACAGTGGCTAGTCATTCCTCATTCAAAAGGTTACTTCTGACTTTCTAAAATCCTGGGCAGTGTCAAAGGATCAAATTAAGGAAGGAGCAGAACACAGAAATGTTTCTTAAACTCCTGTAAATGTGGATTTTAGTTTCTAGAATTATATTGGTCAGAAATACAGGATAAGCAGTGCTCAGTCCTGCACCATTGCAAGGTATAAGGGCATACTGAGTTGCTGACAGTTACCATTTGTCAGTTAAGCTCCATTTATTGATCATGGGTATGCTTCTGTACATATGTGCGGGTGTTAGCATAAATCACCATCTTCAATTCACATGCCTCAGTTTACAACATTTAATTTAGTAATTTTTGATGGTCCATCCTAAAGCCTGAGATAAGTTTTCCTACCCAAGTTGTTAGGCACAGCTGGTGTGGTGAGAATGCATCCTAACCCTATATACACACAAAAAAAGTCAAAGCAGCTTTCATATACCATAGGTGGAAACTGCTGCCATAAGATTCAGTAATTCATAGTGTATTAGAAATAGTGTTGACAGGAGGATACGAATGTGGAAAGCCTTTTTTTTCGTTCCAGCTGAGATAATTTTTCAATATTCACATCATAAAATCACAACATAATGACTTATCAAAACCTATTCCATAACACTTCAGAGATTTCAAGAATGCTTCTGTTATTATTTTTCCCATCCTCCCAAGACTTGCAGTTAGACTCATATTACTACAGTGTGGCAGCTTGCAGATAGATTTGAAAAACGAAACCAATAAAAATTGTAAAAACACTCTTAAGCATGTGCACAATAGACATTGGTGCAGGGTTATGCTGAAATTTGTTTGAAACGAGCAAAACAGTCTTGGGCTAACTCTCAGACCCCTGCCAATAAGACTTCTTAACCACATCACAATATCATCTGTTCTCTCTATATTATCTAAGAATAGAGGTAAAAGTTTGGATTCAAGTACAGTTCTTCATTTGGGAAAACAAGTCAAGTAAGGCTGTTTCTATGTTTGGCGAATAAGTTTCCATTTGACTGACTTAGGTTAGAATGAGGGAGCAAAAGAAGTCTCACTATTCTTTAACAAAATAAGGTAGATAGGAGAAGTTACTGCAGTTTAGAACTGTGATTGATAGCCGCCTGCCTTCTTAATACCTTGCCGCCAGAGGTGGCATATTACAGCAAATAAATATTAAACTATGTAGCTTTGTGAATACAGGCAGTATCAAGGGCCATTTTGTAGACAGTCTTCTCTTGATAGTGCCTTCCCCAGCAGTCATTGTTCAACTAACTACTAATCCCAAAGTCAAAGAGCATTTTGGGAGCCAAATTGAGTTTGAATATCTGCAATTCTGTTAGGAAAACTTAAGCAAGTGTCCTGTGGTCTTTGCAGCAACTAAGTAAAACATGAATTATAGACTCAAAAATTCTTACTGTATTGAAATACTGAACATTTAACTAGTTTAAAAATTCTAATCTAAATTAATAGGAATGGAAAATATATTTTATTAATGTTCTTGTGTTCTTTTTTATTAATGTGGATACTTCCTATATCTTTACTAGCTAAATATCTAAAGATTTTGATCATAATAAAAGATAAAACATCCCTGAAATTCTTACCTGTACCATGAAAAATGTTTTATAATTCAGATATATTTCTTGTCTCATTCATTGACACGTTAAAAATGCCACATGCAGTTAGTATATCACACTCGGAGATTCTGACATGCTTCTGCCTGAGCTGTGAAATAACATCTCATTTTCTGAAATGCAGAAACAACAAAATGCTAATTTTTGTTCGTAATTTAAGTATGTTGTAAATATCCCACTTTGAAAAGCCTTCTAAATGGAATATAAGTAACTTGGTAAAACTGGGGTTTTCTATATGTAGGAATTACTTGTTTGTGAAAATAAAGCGTTCTTGTCTTCATTATAGAGAAGCAGATCTGCTTAAAAGTGCATTTAATATTATAGAAAAAAATAGTCTCCCCCTACATGCTTCCACATGCTTGTATTTTTTATTCTTTTTAACAAACTGACAACTGGTTCTCCTTTAAAAATAGAAAACCTTAATCCCTGGTACCATACACAAAATTGCTTTCAAGTTTCTCTAGTCAATAAGATACAGGATCATACATGATTCTATATGTAGGCCCTCTTCAGGTCAGCAAAGTAAGCAGGTCTCACATCCATTGTAACAGCAACATAACAGTGATTTGTACCCACCCAAAAAAAACGTTTTTCATGGCCAATGTGGTGTAAAGGATCTTACTTTACGTAAGAAGCAGGCCTATGCCATGCGTATTTGTTTAACACATGGTATCAGCCTGGTTCAAGATTTTTAAGAGTTGTATTTGTTAGAACTGAAATATGATGAATGATTCCAAGATTGCTACCTCATACCTTGAGTTTATGACTGAGAATTTGATTTAATATTGCTGCTATATTCCAACATGGAGAAGTATCATTTCACTGTTACAATTATGCACTGAATAATTTATGTCTTTTGTTGGTTTCACTTTTTGCAGTCTAACTGATGTTGTTTTAAATGCTGTGAATACAGTAAAACTTTTCTTTAAGCAGTGTGGAATCCTAAAACAGTATCACATACAGACACTGAAATCTTCTTTTTAGAAACTATTTACCTTCAGTATGTTGCAACTCTGAAAGATTATGTTTATTCTGAATTTGTGTGTTTTCTTTTTTTAACAGAAGGAGTTTAACAGTGACTGCAAATTGAAGGAAAGAATAGAAGAAAATGGATATAACACATATGCATCATTAAATTGGAAGCACAATGGAAGGCAAATGTTTGTGGCCCTGAATGGAAGGGGAGCCACAAAGAGGGGACAGAAAACAAGAAGGAAAAACACTTCAGCTCACTTTCTTCCAATGGTAGTAATGTCATAGATGAAGGAACTATTTTATTGATGCAATTGAACCAAAGGCTCTTATGTCAAGAATAGTTGTTAATCCTCTTAAAGAGCAAAGAAATACTGCAGACATCTGCTTGTTTGAAAAGAGAGCAGGGGAAGCCTTTGAAAGTTTTGGACTCATTGCTGGCATATGAAAAACTTTTATTTAGTTCAATGTCATATCTTATAATCAAGATACAAGGTGGATAAAAGGGGATGGAAGTTACTGCCAGTGTGAACAATTTTTTTTATCTCTGCAACAGAACTTAAGGGACGTGAGACAATCTGTTGAATGATCTTCATGGGGAAAGTTATTTATGGAATACTAACTCATATCAAAGAACTTAATTGCTCGTTCAAGCCTAATGATCCAATGAACAGTTAGACATGCAAGCATTTACTGGAAGCACTTGGGTCATATGCACAAATAATGACATTTCTGGAGAAGCCTTGTGGAAGAATGGATAGGATTAAGGAACATAAGCAAAGTAGTGTAAAACTGTTCTAACAAAAAGAATAGTATGGTTTGCTTGTATGTTCTAACTTCATTTCTTTTTATTTCTCTCTAAGTTATTTATTTAATAGGGTGTTAAATATCTTTTTGATTTGAAATATTTTCCTCATTTGCTTCTTTGTTGTTTTCCCTTTTTCTCAGTACTTCACACAGAGGTTGATAGGTTAAAATGTCAAAACCTCAGAAGTACTCTGAGATTAGACAAGGCTTTAAAGGCAGAATTTAATGTGTATAATCCATTTTTTCCTAAACTGTCTTGCACTTAAGCAAAAAGACCAAACAAGCAGTGCTTGGATTTATGGTATTGGGTGTCTTTATGTCGGAGAATTTTTTTTACTTATCAACACTCAAGAACAAACTTCAAGAAATACTTCGTTTGAAGGGTCTTTCTGCTATTTTGAAATTGAGAGAAGGGGCCACATCTGTACTTGGGTGTCAATGCATCTGTGTGTAAATTCATCTGACTTTGATTTCAATTTGAGACTGAGATCTAATGCATTGCAGTCAGTGCGATATTCTGCATCAAGCATTGGGCTGGAACCTAGATGTGGACAGCCCTGTTGAAGTCACTGAGATTGCAAATGTTAAAATTAAATAGTGTGTAATTCCCAAGCGTACAGTTTGTCCTTTAAAAGGTAAGTAAGAAGGCAACACAGTCCTGCACTCCTTATTCAGTTAATATGCCCGTTGAGCACATTTGTCCTTGTTACCAGCTTGTAGAATCATGGGCAAATAGTGGTAGCAATACTTAAGTAAGGACTGAGGGACAGGAGATCCAAAATCATGCTCGTGCATTTATCAGAGATTATTACTCACATGTATATTATATGAGAGCCAACCAAAAAGCTGTGCTGGTATCCAGCTTTAGCATGCCTTTCATATCTGTCATAGTAACTGAAGGCTCAAAATACATAATATCCAGCACATTTTTATGAAGTGTTACTAGTCCCATGGCTTAACTTGAGCAACTGCAGTATAACAAAGTTAAGCATAATATGAAGTCTGTTCAATTAAAGGTACCTAAGGTTTGTTTTATGTTTTGCTTTACTCTGTAATTTTAGAGAGCTCTGGATAGCTCACCAATGTAACCATATTGAAATTCATTTTGTTAGAGCAGATAAATAGAAAAAAGTACATCAAAAAATTTGTACCACTGTCTTCACATTGTATTCCACTAAATAAATAAATAAGCCTTTGCAGTGTCTTTAGTAAGAAACAAAAGTAGTATAATATTATTTTGTTCTAAATACTTTAAGTGATAACTATGAGATTATATTGATGCTGCAGTTTTATCTTCAATATTTCTTGTTGTGAAAAAGTTGGTTTTATTTTTATTGTTTGGAAACTGTATTTTGGTACAAAGGAGAGCCTTGCTTACTGTGTCTTTTTGAGAATGTGTAACCTCTATAAAGGCTGGTGTTGTTGGAATCTTCTGTAACTTATTTAAGTCAATGTTTAACCAGCACTTCAATCTTAATCTGTTATTTAAATATTAGCTGTTTTAAAAAAAAAGGCAAAAAATAATAGCTTTCCCTTAAAATACAAAATGGTCAGATTGTATTTCCTGTCCTTAAATAAAGTCAGCTGTTTTAAAACCAGGAATTCATTGAGAGGCAATATTTCAGCTGATAGCTGACGTATTTCATGGTACTTCATCTCCAACTTTCTTCTTCACAAATGAGATTTTTTGAGAAAGGGAAATAATAATTTCAGAATTTACATGTAATTGCAGGTCACAGTAAAACTTAACTACCATGATGAAAGTGAATTTCTGTTGTTTAAAATTTGTAATCAGTAATTCAAACTGGCAAGACCTAGTGAACAACCCTCAATGAATATTCAATGGGAGCTTGGGCAAATGCAGTATTGGGTGACCACTTAAAGGACACCTAAGCTGGAAATGAAATTCTCTTTTGACAGAATTACCTAGATGACTTGGTCAGGTGATGATTATGCATAAATAGTATCATAGTACTCAAAACACCATGCTGCTCAGAGGACAAAATGGGGATATATCACTTTTCCAAAGTGAGTCAGGAGCTATTTGTGACATGAATAGTGATTTCTGAAAATTAACAACAGAAAAAAAAACCAAAAAAACAAACTTGAAGGAATCAATTATTATTATGTGTTTGGTATACTGTAATACCCACTGCAGTGGGAGAAAACTGCAGATACTCTATTTAAGAGTATTACAGATCCTCAACCATAACCTCGTGTTTTCTGTCACCCTCAGCATAACAGACTCCTGAGAAAAACAGGGAAAGGGATTTAAAAAAGAAAAGAGAAACAAAAATCACTGAGCAACAATGTAGAGTATATTTTAATACAAATAATAAAATATGGGGAATAGAGAATAAGAGTATTGACCTTGTTTGTTTTATTAAACTGATATGATACTGCACAATAAAAATAAAATGGGAAAAGATCTGTTGTACTTCAGGATGTGGTTTTGTGCTGTATAGCCCCAAAACAAAACAAAAATCACTTGAACATTTGTAAGTTTCCTTAATTTTTTGCATGTGTGAGTCAGCTATCTCAACACTAATAACAACCAAATGCTTTAGATTCTTCCTGTAAGTATTCAAATCCACCTAGTTTATACAATGGAAAAAGCAATGAATTTAAAGCAAGCACATTTGATGAAAGAATGAAGGGGGTTAGGAAGAAGAACATGTACTTACATTTTTGAAGTAAACTTTAGATGTGGAAAAATAGTTAGATTTTATATAAGACTTCATTCAAGACATTTCAGGTTATACAGTTCGCTAAAGGTTAGTAAGCCTTAGTAATACAAGAACACCAGTGTACGAGCACAACTTTGTAATTCATGCCGCTGCTGAAACTGATTGTCTCTATTCACACGATCAGTCATAACCGCTTCAAGGAGTGATCTTGAAACTAATGCATGAAGGCAGCCCCTCTTTTAAAGTATCAAGTATCATTATTTACTCTATTAAGTTACATTGTGGGGCAGAATTAATCCTAATTTCCTATGTAAATTGGAGAAAGAAAAGTACAACACATAATACAAACATGTTTTCTGCTGCAGCTAGTCATGTGTAATTACTGTTGGTATTTTTCAGAAAAAGCTCATTGACTGAAACAATTTCAGTGTAACTGCAAATAACAAACACAAGCAAAAAAAAGTTTTATCCCATCACATTATAAGCAAAAAATAGAATATTAAAAATTGTTTTTTTACCTTTGCTTACCTGCTCAAATTTTTGAACCTTATGTTTAACTATATGGAATCTTTCTCAGAATAAGTTTTGGGATTTTCTAAAGAACCATGATGAATCTCAGATACCTGATTGATGTCTTTTCACTCACTAATCCCAGAAAAAAACCCAACACTGTAGTATGTCTTTTGCCCATGCCAACAATGTAAAGAAAATATGCTCCTGTGAAAGACAAAATAAAGGAACCATGACTAAGCCTCAAGTAACTGATATGGGAGCACTGATATCTAAGTTACTGTCGAATCAGGAGAATTTGCACTCCTGAAATTCCTCACCAGGATCTTTAGTAATGCCACTGTGTGTTATTTCATTGATGCACAATACTAACTCATGCAACTGAATAAATGGATATGCTGTGGTGATGTCAGAAATACATGTCCTATCAGACCATTGTCCAAATATGAGGCTGGAAGAATTGCAATATCCAAAAAAAACCCCATAGAAAGTACCCCACTGTAGAGTTCTGTGAAAAAATATTTAGGGCTCTGATAGTACATAGGTAATGTACCACAGTGGAAAAAACGGAGTCTATACTTACATCAAAGCTCAGACTCTGTGTTTATCTTGCAATAATGTAGTAAATGAGGAATCAAGATATTACAGATTCTTTATTATTACTGAAATGTAAAGTGTGTGTACCTTTGGTGTAGCCGTTCATCCAAGCTCCAAATGTACTATTTCACCATCCAAACTATTCTGTGGCTTTGTTTAAATTATGTTATAAGATTTTTTTTTATTATGAAACTGTTTTACTAACTGCTCAATGAACTTTTAACCATTTCATTTGTTAACAGTCTTCAAAAAAGTCTGCGCAAAGGCCAAACATCTTCAGTCCACACCTTTGGTCCACACCTGAATCTGCCCTTTTTTACTAGCTATACATAGCTGAAAAAGCAGATTACATTCAATGTTGTACATGCAGGAACTTGCCTTATTCAGTGAAGTGTGTCCGAGTGGGATGAAAAATGAATCTCTCCGATCCATTATTTTCATGATGCCCAACTAATTTGTATACTTTCTTGCATGAGCAATACTCTTGAAATCTCACTTCCCCTTGTTTCCAAAATGTACATCACAAAATTGTATGAGCACTTTAGCTTTCTCTTTCATATCTTTTTTTTTTTTTTAATCAAGTTGAGACAGCACTTGGGAGAAGAACTGCCTTATCAGGACCCTGTGCATACAACTTCACATTCTTTCCAAACTGTACTGAAATAATCATTCAGAACAATCAAAATG